AAAAAACTAAACCGTCAAACATGGCCACTGACCTCCAGTCCTGAATGGGAAAAGATCCTTTTCCCTGTAGCCTTTGAGCCTTTGATGATGACCCCATGGCCACCTGGAGAGACCTGTGACCAACTCCCTCAGGTCGGGCTCCAGCTCCGCCCTCCTTGCTTGGTCCCGCCTCCAGCCCAGGACTCTTCCTTCAGCTATTCCTTTATCCCGCCCAGCCCCACCCACCGCCTATTCTTTCTGCCCCGCCTCCAGTCCCACCTTCCGAGCGCCTCCTTTGGCCCCTCCTCAAGCCCCGCCCCCTGCCTCGCCCCCTTTTGTCGTCTCCGCCCCCATCTACGCCGCGCGTTCTCCTTTCGACCCCGCCTCCAGCCCCACCCTCCTCACGCTCTGCACGTCAGACCCCGACCAATTTCCCAGAGCCGACGTCGACGTTCGCACGTCGGGGCGGGGCCTGACGCCAGCGTAAGCGTGTGGGTTCGCCAGTCAGCCGCGGGTCTCCTTCGCTGGTGGCTCGTTGTTCCTCGACTACCGAACCTGCAGAAGCTGCGGGTCGCCGCCCGCCCACCCGCTCCGCGCCTGCGCGCGCTCGGGGGAGCGGGCCGCGCGGGTCATGGCGCACCGCTGCCTGCTGCTGTGGGGCCGGGGTGGCTGTGGCCGCCGCCTCCCGCCGCTGCTCCTGCCCCGCGGCTGCCCCGGCTCGGGCCGGCGGCCCTGCCTGCGCATGGTGAGTCCCGCGCTCCCGGCTGCTCGCCTTTGCCCGGCCGGCTTCCGGCTCCGGAGCGGGTGTCAAGGTCACCGGCCGGGACGCCGGCGGAAGGAGTGGCGGCGTTTCTGCCGCTCTCTGTATCGCGCAGCCGTCCGGCCGTCCAGTCCGGGGCTACGGTGGCGCCCGGAGCTCTGGGTCACCCCGCGGCTTTGGAGCCTCCGTCCTGCTCGCTTTCATGACACTGGAAATCGGCAAATCGGCGGAGCCTCCGTCCTGCTCGCTTTCATGACACTGGAAATCGGCGTGTGTGTGTGTGTGTGTGTGTGTGTGTGTGTGTGTTTTGTTGCGCTGGAAAGATGGAGTGGAAAAGGGAGATTGTGAATAGGACCACTGCTGGAATTCTCAATTCTGCTAGTTAGTACCACCGGTGTCAAAAATGTGTACTACGTTATCGTAGGGCCATGTTATTTTGTTGCATAACAGTGCCTATGCTGGTGGTAACCTACCAGGTGTAGGGCCGCACATGCGGACTAATAGAGTTTTCTGAAGTGATGATGATTTGGAAGGACCATGACACAGCTTCTTGCTGCCTGTCAGCTCTTTAGATGAAGTCCAGGCCAGCACAGGTTTTATCCCGAGGTACATAGCGTGGTGGCATAGGTCCTGGAATTGGTCACTAGAACCTGGCTTGGCTTGACCACTTAGACTGGCCAGTGTCCTTAAGGAAGTTAGCCCAGTCCTTCCACGCACAAGCCAGAAATACTAGGACAGCAGCCTTTCTGTATTCACAGGGCATTGATTCCAGCACCCCCATTTAAATCAGAGGATGCTGGGAGTAGTTCCACTCATATGGTTTGTTTACTGTATGTTTTGTTAGGGAGTTTCTGTGTATGAATGTTTTGCCTGCAAGTATGTATGTTCACCTGTGTCGTGCAATGCTTTCGGAGGCCAGAAGAGAGCATCGGATCCCCTGGAAGTGGAGTTTTGAACAGTTGTTAACCACGTCCTCTGTAACAGCAGCCAGTGCTCTTAGTCACGCAGCCTTCTCGTCTCTCCAGCCCAGTTAGGGAGTTTTCTAGACAAGGTCTCTGTGTAAACCAGGCTAACCAGTGACCCTCCCACCTGGTCCTTCGGAGATCACAGGAGCAAGCCACCAGGCTGACTCTTACATTTTACTTTGCTCTCTAGATTATTTTCAATACCTGATATGTTGTAAATGTACTGTAAGTAGGTGCAGTACCATAGCATTTCAAGGAATAATGACAAAAAAAGGTCTGCTTATAGAAACAGTAGCTCAACCTGTCCTTAAACTTCCTTACTGAGGCTGGCCTTGAACTGATCCTCTTGCCTCCCGGCTCTCAAGTGCAGGGATTACAGGTGTGCACTACCACACCAGCTCATGTAAATTCTTTTTCTGAGGGTTTTCAGCCAGTGCTTGGTGGGGTCTAAGAATGGAAGCCATGGATGGAGCCCTGAGGGAACCTGTGTGTGTGACTCTACTTGAACTCTCTCCTGCCTTTCTTGGGTTTATTCCTGAGTTCTCTTCATCTTTCTGACTGTGTACTGCCCTGCACTAGGCCATCTGTTCAGCTTCTTGTATTGTCCCATCTTGCTCATATGATCCCTTTTATAATTAGTGGACATTGGACTCAGGGATCCACCTTATGAGGTTGCACTGTTAAGGCAGGAATCCTGTGTAAAAGGCCTTCCTTTCTTCATGGCATTGTTGTCTCTGCGTCACCAGTGAGTGCTGAGATATAAGGAAGTCCTTGGTGATGACAGCTACAGCTCATTGATTGGGGATATATGACATATACTCTTGTGCTGGGTAGGGACATCTGGGCATTTCTTCGCTAGCCCAGGATGACCTTGAACTTGTTATCCTCCTGCCTCCTCTTGAGTGTTGGAATTACAGGCATGATGGCCTGTGCCTGGTTTATGTGGTGTTGGGGATCAAACCTAGGACTTTGTGTATGCTTTGTGTACACCATCAACTCAGTCCCCAGAAGGCATTTAAAAAAAATATTTTATGGGGGCTGGAGAGATGGCTCAACGGTTAAGAACACAGACTGCTCTTGCAGAGGACCCGGGCTCGATTCCCAGCACCCACATGGTGGCTGCGAACCGTCCTTAACTCCAGTTCCAGGGGAATCTGAAGCCCTTTTCTGTGGTCCGCGGGCATTGCACGACATGGGTGCACTCAACCTGCCTGCAGGCAATACACGCATACACATAAAAAAAAAAATTTATATGTGAGTCTATTGCCTGCATGTATGTAAATGCACCTGTGTCATACAATGCCCACAGAGATCGGGAGAGGGCATTAGATTCCCCTCAACTGGAGTTATGGTTGTTAGCCTCCATGTGGGTACTGGGAATGGAACTTGGGTCCTCTGTAAGAGCAGCCAGTGCTTTTCACTGCTGAGCCATCTCTCCACCCCCCACTGAGGGCATTTTGAGGTAATGAATATTTATGGAGTATAATTGTGTGCCCGGTTCTGTACCACACTGCAAAGACTTTGGGGAATTGTGATGTGAAATGATTGTATTAGCTCTGTGCTATCCCGGTTTCTCTCCATTTGGCCCTTCATATCTGTGAGTACCCTAGGGTTGAGGATATTTGGAAAACAATCGCATGCATATTGAATATGTAAAGACATGCTCCCTAGACAATATTGTATGGTCCCTGGGAGATACAGTATAGAGTATTGACATAACTCTTCCATTGTATTAGGTATTATAAATAACTTAAAGGTGGCGTGTGACTGTTACCACTTTTTATCTATCAATGTGTTAGCTGGTGAGCATTTGAGTTGTTCGCACTTTTTTACTATTATGAATGATGCTACAAGCATTTGTGTGCGAGGTTTTGAATAGTCACGTTTTCAGTTTTTTGGGGTAAGGAGTGCAATTGCTGGATCCTATGGTAATTAAATATTTTTTTATACATTTATTTTCTGTGCATGTGCACAGATGCATGCTGTGTACACGTGCATGCCACAGAGCAAGTGTGGAAGTCAAAGAACAGCTTGTGGGAGTTGATTTTTCTCCCTTTACCAGGAGGGTTCTGGGATTGAACTCAGGTCATCAGACTTGATAGTGCCTTCGCCCACTGAGTCATCTACCTACCCCTTCCCCCCATTTAATATTTTGAGAATTTGCCAAACTTTTCCAAAGTGGTGGAGCATTTTACATTCCCAACAGCAGTTGCATGGGCTTTGGTTTCTCCCCATTTTCTCCAGCGCTTTGCTTTGTATTTGTGCCGGCCACCCTGAGGTGGTTTTATTTTTCTAATGGACCCATAAAGGGGACAACTGATGGGTGCTAATACACTGACACAGGTGGACCTCACTTCAGCATTTCCATCTGTACTAAAGGTCACCCTCCCCCTGTGGTGAATTTTCATTTTGTAAAAGGATAAGATTACTTTAGCTTTTCATGGCCAGATTTGGATACATCCCCTCAGTGCCTCTTGCCATTGATAGATTGCTTTATTTTTTATTTCTTTGTTTTAAAATTTTTATTATTTTGGGGGGCTAGAGAGACGGCTCAGTGGCCAAGAACACTGGTTGTTCTTGCAGAAGCCCAGGTTTGGATTCCAGCGCCCACATGGCAGCTAACAACTGTCCATAACTCCAGTTCCAGGGGCTCCGACGGCCTCTTTTGTCCTCCTCGGGCACTGCACAACATGGGTGCACTTACCTATATGCAGGCAATACACACATAAAATAAAAATAATAAATAAAAAAAATATATAATTTTTATCTTGTGTGTCTGATTATATTGCCTACATGTAAGTGCATGTACATGCATGCAATGCCTGTGGAGGCCATAAGAGGGCATCAGATCCCCTGGAACTGGAGTTACAGACAGTTATTAGCCTCCATATGGGTGCTGGGAATGAAACCCAGGTTCTCTGCAAGAGTAGCCAGTGCTCTTAACCGCTGAGTCATCTCTCCAGCCTCTGACTGATGGCTTTTCGTTGAGCAGCTAGAATTTTATGTAGAGACCATTTTAAAAAACTTTTTTGAGACAGTCTCATACTGTAGCTCAGTCCAGAGTAGAACTCACGGCAGTCCTGCCTCAGCCAGGGTTGCTGGGATTACAGGCATGTGCCACCTTGCCTAGTTTATGTAGTACTGGGGATGGAACTTTTGGCCTCATGCATGTTGGGCAAGTATTCTGCCAACAAAGCTACATCCCCAACTCTACAAATAACTATTCAATAAATTCTTTGGTGGTGCTGGGTTCAGACCCAGGATTTACACATGCTAGCATGTGCTCTCCTGTTGAGCTACATCCCACCTCCCAAACAACTTTTAGTAACATGTTTTAAAGCAGCGATATACCCATAGTAGACTTTCATAGAACCATAATTCTCACCATTAAGACTATCTAGCAGATATCCTTAGCAGACATCGCTAGTGAAAGGATTGTCAGTGGTATTTAGCCCTGACTGTCTCATCACTGAACTGACATGAAATTAGCATTATGTTTGTAAGCAGTCCTGGTTTGTCATTTCAGGTTAAGTACTGTGAAGTATTATAGACCCTGAAAATCAGCATCAAACAGCAGGTCTTGGGTCAGAGTTTTGTTGTTAGTTTTTTTTTGTTTTTTTTTTTTTTTTTTTTTTTTTTTTTTTTTGATCTTTTTGAGACAGGGCTCCGTGTCCTAGCTGGCCTGGAACTCGCTTTGTAGACCAGGCTGGCCTTGAACTCACAGAGATCCTCCTGCCTCTGCCTCCTAAGTGCTGGGATTAAAGGCATGCGCCACCATGCCCGGCTCAGAGTTTATCTTTGAGTGCCTCGAAGTAGATAAAACATTGGCAGAGTCAATGTGTTATTAGATGCTTATAGTTGGATTGGCACTCTAAATCATGCCTGGCTTGGAAGCATTTGTGTCTTCTGAGTAGTCACATCTGGTTTGTTGTTAGAATAGAGTAGGTTTGGGCCGGAAGCCCTGGTCCCTCCTTAGGCTATGCTAGGTCGTGACCCAGATGGGGATGCTAAGAATGAGTCCTGTTACTTTTTGTTATCTCAAAGAGCCTCATGCTCTTACTCTGTCATGTTACAGCTTTATCAATACGCGACAGCACAGACAACCAGCAGAAATTCTCTTCTGAGGGATGTAATTGCTGCTTATCAAAGATTCTGTTCTCGGCCTCCCAAAGGTGAGTGCTATGGGTAGGACCCCAATGTTGTGCGTTCTTTTTTTTGTTTATTTGTTTTTTGGTCTTTTTGAGAGAGAATCTTCCTGTAGCCCCAGCTGGTCTGAAACTCATTATGTAGACCAGGCTGGCCTTGATCTCACAGAGATCCACCTGCTTCTGCCTCTGCCTCCGGAGCACGCTGGGATAAAGGCATGCACCGGGATGCCTAGCTGTTGTGCATTCTTTTTTCTTTTATTTTATGTGTATGCGTGTATTGCCTCAGTGCACCCGTGTCATGCGATGCCCGCGGAGGTCAAAAGAGGCTGTTGGATTCCCTAGGACTGGAGTTACAGACAGTTGTTAGCTGCCATGTGGGTGCTGGGATTCGAACCCAGGTCTTCTGCAAGAACAACCAGTGTTCTTAACCACTGAGCCATCTCTCCAGCCCCCGTTGTGCATTCTTAAAGAGACATGTCCTCTGGGTGCTTACTGTGTGGGTGTGTGGATTTGGTTTCAGTATGACTTTTTTTTTGGTCTTTTTTTGAGACAGGGTCTCTCTGTAGCCCCAGCTGTCCTGGAACTCACTATGTAGACCAGGCTGGCCTTGAACTCACAGAGATCCGCCTGCCTCTGCCTCCCAATAGTTGGGATTAAAGGCATGTGCTAGCACACCTGGCCTCAATATGACTTTTTAAAAATGTTATTTTATGTGTATGAGTGTATTGCCTGTATGTGTAAGTGCACCTGTATCACACAGTGCCCAAGGCGGTCAAAGGAGGGCATTGGATCCCCTGGAACTGGAGTTGGAGATGGTGCTCTTAACTGCTGAGCCATCTTTCCAGCCCCCTCAGTATGACTAACTTGTCTCCTATGTCCGCTCTGTGACCTTCAACTTCTGTCTTGATTATAACAATGAAATTATGTCACCTTCAAGTAGACCATCTTACAGATGGTGAAATTGACACATTTGATTGTGAACTGTATAATTTAGACTTTGATATATTTCTATAAAAGAAATGTTATGTTTTTTAATGGTGTGTCTGTGGCTTTAAAAATTGGCTTTAAAAATAATGTGCACAAAACCTGATGAATTTTAGTTTGAGAATATTTTTTCCCTTTTCTAACAGGATTTGAAAAATACTTTCCAAATGGGAAAAATGGAAAAAAGGCTAGTGAACCTAAAGAAGCTGTTGGAGAAAAACAAGGTAGTTTTAAAAATAGATTAGGTTTGCTTTTATTGTTTTCCTATAACAAATAGAAATGTTTCCACCAGAGAAAGAGTTACCAGAAGTTAGCTCTGAAACTTCAGATTACAGGTACATCCAAAATTCTACAAACCCTCTGTTTCATTTCACTTTAATTTTCTGTTTACATTTTCTTCTCATTTTACAAATTGAAATAGTTCAAGGTTACCTTGTAGACACTGATTGATCAAACTAAGACTATTTGGTACATATTTCTGACACCTAATTTAATCCATTAAGAAAAGTCTTAGAAACCTAATACATGCAATTTATTTGACATACATTGAGATATGGTATGACTATAAGTAAGTTATATAGCTTTATTTTGTTTTAAGATATATTTACGTATTTATTTGAGACAAATTCTCACTATGCAGTCTTGGCTGGCCTGGAACTTGCTATGTAGACCAGGCTCACAAGATTTTGCTTCTGCCTTCTGAGTGCTGGAATTAAAGGCATGTGCCACCATGCCCAGCTTAATATCTATTTTTAATTATGTATATTTGTGTGTGTCTGTGTGAGTATGTATCTGTGTGAGTATGTGCCTATATAAGTACAGGGGCGCTCAAGAGTTCAGAAGAGGGCATCAGATCCCCTGGAGCTGGAGTTCCAGGCAGTTGAGAGCTGATGCTAGGAATTGAACTTGGGACCTGTGGAAGAGCAGGAATTGTTCATAACTGCTGAATCGTCTCTCCAGCCCCATAGTGCAATGTTTTAAAATTTGTTCCTAGGCCAGATGGTGGTGTATGCTTGTGGGCTTGCCTCATGCTATGTGAAAGATGATGTTTTATGGTAGTTGGCAACTTAGCTGTTTGTAGGTCACTGAGAGGGTGGATATAACTGCCTTACCAAGGGTTAGATCTTTGGGGGCTTCAGGAACAGACTGATTGCCTCAAATTCTGGAGGCCACCACACAGTTTATGCAGTACTAGGGATTGAGCCCATAACTTTGTGCATATTAGGCAAAAAATCTTTATCACCTGAGCTAGACCCTCAGCCTAGCACTTTTCAATTTGGAATGAGGGCTCAAGAATTCACATGCCCTCTTTGTTCACTCTCATATCACGTGGCAACAAATTATGCAGGAGGTTACTTGAGCTGGAGTGTTATCCTCTGTAAAATGGGAATAGTAATAGCATTGCTCTGGGATTACTGGGTTACAGTGTGTTTCCTGAGCTCATCTAGGCAGGGTACTTTGGAGCCTTCTTGGCTGTTGCCACTTTGTATTAATATCTTTTCTCCAGGTGTTTTATTTAGTTACTGATAGTGGGACATGTGCTTGGCACCTAGTCCTTTATTGAGCTATGATAGGAACCTTGTTGCTAGCCAGGTGCTGCAGTGTATGCTTTGTTTATGACAGAATCCAAGCCAGCTGCTGCCTCTCGTTCTTCTGGAGGTACAGGTGGTGGAGGAAAACGCCGTGGCAAGAAAGACGATGCTCACTGGTGGTCCCGGTTTCAGAAGGTTTGACTGCAAACTATGCTGATTTTTGATCATGGGCCCAAGAACAGCCCACATAGCATAAGTCACATTGTGACATTTCATTCCTCACAGAAATGTCTCCCTCCTTGTCTAGGGTGACTTTCCATGGGATGACAAAGATTTCAGGTTGTACTTTATCTGGACTAATTTCTTCTGGGGATTAGTCATGCTTTACGCTTTGTTCAAGAGCTCTGGGAGAGAAATCACTTGGAAAGACTTTGTCAACAACTATCTTTCTAAAGGAGTGGTAAGTACTGTGTGGGGTTGCTGGGCTCACTTTAGAAGGTGAAATGTGTATTAGACCAGAAAGTGGTAAAGGGTGACCTAACTAGTTAGACTAGTCCACCATAAAGTAACTGGTAACTGGTTACATTGGCTTTTTTTTTTTTTTTTTTTTATTTTTTTTTGTTAGGGTCCCC